AAAAAAAAAAAGATTAACACATAACAACACATTTACATTTTAGTCATTTAGCAGACGCTCTTATCCAGAGTGACTTACAGTTAGTGAGTGCATACATTTTTCATACTGTCACCCCGTGTGAATCGAACCCACAACCCTGGCGTTGCAAGCGCCATGCTCTACCAACTGAGCTACAGGAGGCTACACATCTTCCTTCCTTTAAAAGAAAACTGTTCTGAGGTTCAAAAAGTTTCATTGTGCTTAATATCTGCTCATAATTAGTTATCAGTTATTACATATTCAAAGATTAGCTGTGGAATTTTCCACTCTATTATAATATGATTGCTTTGTAACTCTCCGACTTAATCATATCCTGTATTCATGTAATGTGGAGTGCCTCCTCCACCAATCCCAAGTTTCATAGGTGGTACTTATGGGGCAAGACAGCTGCTAGTGGCCCCTATTTACCTGTCTTTTGAAGATCTCAAACGTGAACTACTGTATCTACTAAATGTACAAAGTGTGATGATGTGGTTTATTGAAGATCAGAGTATCAAACAGAAGAAAAAATAAATAATTTTGCACACAACTTACTGTCAATGACTATGGATACAAGGAGGGGTGGTTCTGCTGTATCCTTTCTCTGGGATGTGGCAGAATAGATGACTGGTAACTGAGTGGGTGGCCAAGCACTGCTGTAGAGGTCATGCATCAGGTCTGTAAAGACAGAATAATCACGATTAACCGTTACCTAAGGTCTTCACTAAGTTAGACTTAGTCTAGCAAGTACATTGACTATGTTGCCCCTCAGCAATCTGGCAGTCAGGCAGACAGACGGAGAGAGCGAGAGATAGACAGCAAAACGTAGGCTATTTAAATGTCAGCTTGCTGGATAAATTCTGTACTCATTCCCTTTGTTTGCTCCTCCATCCTTCCATCCAAGCAAAAAATTCCTGCAAAAAAAGAGAATCGAGAATTGAAAAAGGCAGTTGAGAGGTGTAACATTAGAATGAGTGTTGAGGTAGCGCAGGGATATGAAAAATGTATCGTATTGTCAAATACAAATTACAAAAAAATACACGTTTCAAGAATTAGGCTAGATTATTGTCTCACACACACAATCAATGTTTACTATATGTGTATTCATGCACCATCTCTCTCTCTCTCTCTCTCTCTCTCTCTCTCTCTCTCTCTCTCTCTCTCTCTCTCTCTCTCTCTCTCTCTCTCTCTCTCTCTCTCTCTCTCTCTCTCTCTCTCTCTCTCTCTCTCTCTCTCTCTCTCTCTCTCTCTCTCACACACTCACACACAGCTAGCATGACACAGTGTTGACATGATGACAATCTTGTGATCATAATCATCATCGCTCTCACACACATAACTAGCATGCCAACGTTGGCATGACAATGTTTTCTAAAGTTATTGGGTTCATCATCTCGCTCACACACACACGCGCAGAGAACACAAACACACACACATACAAACATTTACTTTCAGACATGAACTAAACAGATATCAAAATGTTAGCTAGCTAGCTACAACCAATGCCTACATGTACATTTTTTTTATTTACCATGTCCATGGAGGATTAGCCAGAGAGCTATGTTAGCTAGCTAAAATTAGCCAGCTAAATTAGCTAGCTAGCAAGTCTTTCCTTGATGTTCTTCTCCCCAACAAACTTACTTACAAAAGTAAAACAAGAATGCAGGAGAACAGGGACTACCACTTAGCAGTCCAATCTTTTTGAAGTTATTTGTAAACATTTTGAGAAACTGTCGTTTTCCAGCTGTGCTGTTGTGTAGCCTACTGGGCGCTCTGTCCCAACTACATTCTGAAAACAAATGTAGTTAGTCATAATAGCACTTCAAAACAGCATTCAGTGGAACAAGAAGAAAATGTGCAGCACAATAAACAGTGCAATTAGCTAACACAGATAAAATATTAACATTATAAGCCAACACACACAGCAAGCTATCAGATATCATTAATTAAACAACCATGTTCACTTTGTAATGAGTGCACTGCGTGGTGTCATGGGAAACGGGTGTGACATCTTCGGATGTTATTTTTATGATGTGTTGTTAAAACACTAGTAAGCCTAAATTCCATCGCTATCGGGAAACCGGCCCAAGGACAGGACTTGTACTTTGGATTATAGGTAAATGTTTGACTGTGTGCACCATGGAGGGAGGATAGGTTTTATTTAGTATGAATAAAGACAAACAATGAGAAGGGATATTTTAAAAGTGAGGAAGTAAAACCGATCCAAGAAAAGAGTGCTTTTAAGACAACACTGACCCACACCTGTTGTAGGCCTATCTGTCCGCAACCTTGTCTCAGAGCATTTCGTATTATTCTGTATTTAAATCCGGCACACTCATTTTGTATGGTATGTATTCATTTGTGGATCTCCATCACCCATTTCGTATGATATGTTACGAATTACAATTGGTATTATATGTTACGTATTTGCAAAACATACAATATCTTACAAATTTGCAAACATACTATTTGTTACGAATTTGCAAAAAGTATTATGTTACGAATTCTAGCTAGGTGGCTAACATTTGCTAGCTGGCTAACGTTAGCTAGGCTAGGGGTTGTGGTTAAGTTTAGGAGTTAGGTTAAAGGGTTAGGGGACGGGTTAGCTAACATGCTAAGTAGTTGCAAAGTAGCTAAAAAGTAGTAAGTGGTTGAAAAGTTGATAATTAGCTGAAATGCTAAAGTTGTCCCTGATGAACTCGCAACCTTTGGGTTGCTAGACGTTCGCGTTATATGCCTACTCATCCACCCAGACCAACCACCTTACTTTCGTTTTTGCCTTAAGTAACCATCTGTCTTATGTAACCATACCAAAGGTAACATACCATAATCATGTAAGTTTCCCTGAATTACTTTTACTATGTTACGTCTAGTCTATGAGACAAGGCTGCTGTCCCTGGCCTGGTACCCAAAATAACATAGTTTTAATAGCCTACATCTATTCAGAGGCTAAAGATCCTCACTTACCATGAAGTAAATTGATCTTGCTGCTCTTCGAATTTCTTGTTGATTTGTAGTCAGTATAATACATGTATTTTATGTGTAAAGGAAAACTGGTATGGGATGTGTCTGAGATTTATCAGATAGCAAGGCATATTTGGCAACTGTCTGCAGGGAGGCGTATCACACAGCCGCATTCCATCTGCCAAGAATGCTTGGACATACAGTATATTGGTTAGTAATAGTTTGGAATGTTGGGTCTCTTCTCCTGTACCCCTTACATCCCCGAGTGAGTGTGTGATCGTTTGCTTCCTTTCATGAGTGAGTGTGAAAATTGCTTTCCTTCAAGTGACTCCAGATGAGAATCTCAAGAGAGCAAAAAGTAATATTTTATCTTAGCTTTTTTTTTTTATTGTGCAATCAAAACCAGTGCGTACTTCCTTGCCGTAGGCGGGGCATGAGGAGTATACGCGGAACCGTGCATCTGTTGTGCTGCAGGTATGTGTCTTGTCCCAGGACCATACAGAAAGTTCACACGGAATTTCTGGATTGGCTCCATACATCAACACGCGCACAGAACTGGACCTCATGCAGCCTAGTGTCACAGACAACAACAAAGACAGCTAGTGTTGTGTTTGGGAATCAAGACTTTAGTTAACCTGGAGGCGCGGCATAATACGCACTCGGGTATGTACCTGGCAATCTGGCTGTCATATTACTTTACACTAATTCAGTGCGTTTATAAATTATTTATTATCAATAAGCGTGCATGTCGGTTGTATGCTAGTATTCTGCTCTTTTTCTGATACCAAAACATCCCGACGATTTTTCATCCAATTGTTTGTCTTGTTTTCTTTCTTCATCTTCCAGTTATCTAAAAAAGTATGACGTACTAGCCTATCTGCTGCTCTTATTCCAGACACACACAATGGTTAGCCTACAAACTATCATAAACACAATTCTGTCAATAATCACAGACCTATAACATTCATTGTAGTAGGTTATAGACCTCAAATAAATATTATGTGATTAGAGGCCGAATTGTGTTTTATTCTGCAGTGTAGGCCTATGTTAATCTTTTGATTTGAAAGCATTTTATATTTTCAGACAGCATTTTGATGGTGGTGCTATATTACAGGAAGTTACTGAAACGTCACTACCTTCATCTAATCTTTCATTCTGACGTCTAACTCATGTGACCATGGTTCTACAAACATTTTATTATAGTAAATCTATCAGACACAGTAATGAAACATGAAATAGGGTTACACAAAGGGATTTAGCTATTGTTTTTTGTTCATTTGAAAGAGAGACTCTGAAACGCATACAGTACATTTCCACAGTTACATCAACAGGGACCATGTTTTGTCTTGTCCAATGTAGATTCTTGACCCACTTTCAACTAGTTGGCATTTCCCATAGAGTGGAACTCTAATGACTGTCTGGACTGCTACTCAAACACTTATGTTATGCATACCAATCCGTTTGAATAAATATGACATCATGTTTATAGTTTTAGCACAAAATACCACTCCATCAACCACAGATTGTATCAGCAAACCTTCCCATCCCCAAATAATACCCATACTATCTCTCTAACAACATGAGAAGAGTAAACAAAACTGTGACTCATTCTGGTCATACAAATCAGGCTAGCAGAGTAAACTGGCACTTAAGATATATTTTTTCTCATCCCCCTTTTTAACAAGCTGAATACATCAAAACACTAGTTCTCTGTTGTAAATGGGTTAGAGAGTTATTATAAACTCCTTCTAGTTCATCCTCATTCTCCACTCAGTTCTCTCTCTCTCTCTCTCTCTCTCTCTCTCTCTCTCTCTCTCTCTCTCTCTCTCTCTCTCTCTCTTTCTCTCTCTTTCAATTCAATTCAATTTCAATTTAAGGGCTTTATTGGCATGGGAAATGTATGTTAACATTGCCAAAGCAAGTGAAGTAGATAGTAAACAAAAGTGAAATAAACAATAAATATTAACAGTAAACATTACATCTCTCTCTCTCTCTCTCTCTCTCTCTCTCTCTCTCTCCACAGAGCTGCTGATCCCCAGAATGTTCAGGAGGAGAGGAGAAATCTCCTGTTCTCGTGGCTGTAGGTAGCAGGCAGTAGCAGTGGAGATGGTCCCCTGGGCCACCTTCCTGGTGACATGCATGTGGATACAGACCCTCAAAGCCTCAGGACTGGACAACTGTCCCAGGACCCCTCGCAAGGAGGTGGATTTCACCGTTAGCTACTCAATACCCCACTTCCAGACAGCCAAACCCATCCAGAACATAGTGGTCAACCCATACGTGCCTGAGGTTTATGTGGCTTCTCAGAATGTGATTGAGGCAGTGAGTGGAGAGCTCAGTAAGTTATGGGAGCTGAGGACAGGCCCTGTGGGCAGCCCAGAGTGTCAGACCTGTGGCCTGTGTGACATCGAGGCCGATCTTGAGGACTCAGTAGACACGGACAATGAGGTCCTGCTCTTGGATCCTTCACCTTATCTTAACTCTCTGTACTCCTGTGGGAGCTCTCAGCATGGGGTCTGTCACTTACATGAACTTAACTCTGATGATACCCCACCTAAATCTGAATGTCTCTTCAGGAAGGATGCTAACTCTCCGTCCCTTTGCCCTGACTGCCTGGCCAGCCCCCTGGGCACTGAGGTCATCATCGTGGAGCAAGCCTACACAGCCCACTTCTTTGTAGCGGCTACACTCAATGAGCGTGTGGCACAGAGGTATGGCAGACCGTCCATATCGGTGCGCCGGCCACTGTCGACCCTGGATGGCTTTGAGATGGTCATGCAGGGTCTGACTGTGCTCCCTAAACTACAGAATTCCTACCGGATCGACTACATCTACAGCTTCTCCACACAGGACTATGTGTACTTCCTGTCTGTCCAGAGGGAGAACTTCCTGGACTCATATCAGACGCGATTGGGCCGTCTCCCAGTGAAGGACACGGAGGCTTGGTTGTACCGTGAGGTGGTGCTGGAGTGTCGCTTCGAGCCCAAACGCAGGCGCAGGAGGAGGGGGAACAATATGTTCCAGGACGTGGTGTATAATGGGCTGCAGGCGGCCCACTTCAGCCGGGCAGGGAAGGAGCTGGCAGAGGAGCTGGGGGTGAGGGAGAAGGATGACATCCTCTATGGGGTGTTTGCAGTGACAGATGGCTCTGGAAGGCCGTACAGTAACTCAGCCATGTGTGCCTTCCCCGTGCCCAACGTGAACAGGGCCATGGACCACGGAGTGGAGGACTGCTGCAGGGCCAGCCCAGAGCAGCTCTCCAGGGGGCTCTGCCATTTCCAGCTCTGCGAGAGCTGCCCTCATGAGGTCAGTGACAGGCCTACTCCGCTCCGCTCTGTTCTGCTCTACTCAGCTCCGCTCTGTTCTGTTCTGCTCTACTCAGCTCTGTTCTGTTCTGCTCTACTCAGCTCTGTTCTGTTCTGCTCAGCTCAGCTCTGTTCTGCTCTACTCAGCTCCGCTCTGTTCTGCTCTGCTCAGCTCCGCTCTGTTCTGCTCTGCTCAGCTCCGCTCTGTTCTGCTCAGCTCCGCTCTGTTCTGCTCTGCTCAGCTCCGCTCTGTTCTGCTCTGCTCAGCTCTGTTCTGCTCTGCTCAGCTCCGCTCTGTTCTGCTCTGCTCAGCTCCGCTCTGTTCTGCTCTGCTCAGCTCTGTTCTGCTCTGCTCAGCTCCGCTCTGTTCTGCTCTGCTCAGCTCCGCTCTGTTCTGCTCAGCTCCGCTCTGTTCTGCTCTGCTCAGCTCCGCTCTGTTCTGCTCTGCTCAGCTCTGCGCCGTTCTGCTCAGCTCCGCTCTGTTCTGCTCTGCTCAGCTCTGTTCTGCTCTGCTCAGCTCCGCTCTGTTCTGCTCTACTGAGCTCCGCTCTGTTCTGCTCTACTCAGCTCTGTTCTGCTCAGCTCAGCTCTGTTCTGCTCTACTCAGCTCTGTTCTGTTCTGCTCTACTCTACTCAGCTCTGTTCTGTTCTGCTCTACTCAGCTCTGTTCTGCTCAGCTCCGCTCTGTTCTGCTCTACTCAGCTCTGTTCTGCTCTGCTCCGTTCTGTTCTGCTCTACTAATCTCCACTCCACTCTGTTCTGCTCTGCTCTGCTCAGTTCTGTACCAGAATTGTACCATAATTGTGAGAGGAGGAAGTCGGGTGTGTGAGGATAGGGAGGGAGGGAGGGAGAGACTGAGGGAGGGAGGGAGGTATGAATGAATGAGTCAGATCCCACCAGTGTATTACCATACTGTTGTTCTGCTCTGTTGAATTCCAATCATGACTATTACCTTACCATGCTGAAAGGGTGGGAACTGTTGATACTGCCTGAGTACTATACATGAAAGCCCTGCTACCTTTATTCCTGAAATCTTGACTATGTAAGGTTAGGGTAGACTTTACATATTATACGATGCACAACATTTTTGAATGAAGCTGTTTTCTTAATATTATGACTGTGACCAGGTTATGACATTAATTATAACTTTGAAGAAGATGAATGAGGATAGAAAATGTAGTGTATGTATAGTTGGAAGAATAGATCTAGACAGCAGCTGTATTCAACAATGGTGTTTGGCTGTGTGATATCGGCTATCAAGGTGTGGCCTTATCACTGTGACTTTCAAACTTTCCACCTCTGTTGAGCTAATAGAACCATGCGGACACCTGCAGGGACGGTGTGCCAACTCAGAGGTTATAAATGGTGTTGATAAAAGAGAAGGAATTTGAGGGAGTGTATCCGTGTGCGTGGCTCCTACATGTTCTATGAGAGAGAGAGAGAGAGAGAGAGAGAGAGAGAGAGAGAGAGAGAGAGAGAGAGAGAGAGAGAGAGAGAGAGAGAGAGAGAGAGAGAGAGAGAGAGAGAGAGAGAGAGAGAGAGAGAGAGAGAGAGAGAGAGAGAGAGAGAGAGAGACTCCATTTTAAGTAGCTTGTGTCACTTCAAAGCATTTTTCTGTCTGACTCAACCAATAGAAGAGGAGTAGTGTGGGTTACTGTTTATAAGAAGGGTTACTGTTTATAAGAAGGGTTACTGTTTATAAGAAGGGTTACTGTTTATAAGAAGGGTTACTCAACTTATTCCATCTCGGTAGTGTTTAAGCAGATGACACCATGAGTTGTCTGCTGTCGTTCGTTATTACTGTCATTGGTGTTTACAACTCAATACTAAAATACACTGTTAGAAAAGTGTACTGCCAGCCATATTGTCAGTGTTAAACATCTCAACGGATTATAGTTGAGTTGTAGGATCAGGGAAGATCAGATAAAGATGTGTGTAGAAGACACTTAAAGGAATGGTAAAGAGGCATGTCAGAGCAGGTTAGCTAATTGCACTGTGTTGGAGTAGCTTTATTTAAGTTCTGCTGGGTGGAGGTGGGGAGTGGTTGTGTTGTGGTGGTGGGGAGTGGATGTGTGGTGGTGGGGAGTGGATGTGTGGTGGGGGGGGTGGGATGGTGTGGTGGTGGGGAGTGGATGTGTGGTTGTGGGGAGTGGATGTGTGGTGGTGGGGAGTGGATGTGTGGTGGTGGGGAGTGGATGTGTGGTGGTGGGTGGTGGTGGATGGTGGTGTGTGTGTGGGGAGTGGGATGTGTGGGTGGTGGGGGGGTGGACTGTGTTGTGGTGGGTGGATGTGGTTGTGTGGTGGAGGGATGTTGGTGGGGGGACGTGGTTGTGGGTGGGGGGTGGTGGGGAGGGGAGGGGATGTGTGTGGTGGCGTGGGTGGTGGTGGGGTAGGTGTGTGGTGGGGAGTGGCATGTGTGTGGGGGGGGTGGTGGGGTGGGGGTGGACTGTGTTGTGGTGGGGAGTGGGTGTGGTTGGGGTGGGGGGGAGTGGCTGTGTTGGTGTTGGTGGGGGTGGTGTGGTGGTGGGGTGGGTGGGGGGCTGTGGTGGTGGGGGGGTGGTGGTGTGTGGTGGGGGGGGATGTGGTGGTGGGGGTCTGTGTGTGGTGGGGCGTGGTGTGTGGTGGTGGGGCGGGCTGTTGTGTGGTGGGGGTGAGTGGGTGTGGTGGGGCGTGGCTGGGGTGGTGGGGCGTGGGCTGATGTGGTGGTGGGGTGGCTTGGTGGTGGGGGTGGCTGTGGGGGGTGGGGGTGGCTGTGGGGGGGGGGGGTGTGGTGGTGGGGCGTGGCTGTGGGGGTGGGGTGGTGTGGTGGGGGGGTGGCGTGTGGTGGTGGGGCGGGACTTGGTGTGGGGGCGTGGCTGTGGTGTGGGCTGGTGTGTGGGTGGGGTGGGTGGTTGTGGTGGGTGGCTGTGTGGGTGGGGCGGGGTTGTGGTGGGGGTTGTGGTGTGTTGGTGGGGACGTGGATGTGTGGTGGTGGGAGTGGATGTGTTGGGGGGGCGTGGAGTGTGTGGTGGGGAGTGGATGTGGTGTGGGATGTGGGTGGGGGGAGTGGGTGGTGTTTTGGTGGGGTGGATTGTGGTGGTGGGGATTGTTGTTGCTGTGTGGTGTGGGGGGGGATGTTGTTGTGGTGGGGAGTGGATGTGTGGTGGTGGGGAGTGGATGTGTGGTGGTGGGGAGTGGATGTGTGGTGGTGGGGAGTGGATGTGTGGTGGTGGGGAGTGGATGTGTGGTGGTGGGGAGTGGATGTGTGGTGGTGGGGAGTGGATGTGTGGTGGTGGGGAGTGGATGTGTTGTGGTGGGGGTGGATGTGTGGTGGTGGTGGTGTGTGTGTGGTGGGGAGTGGATGTGTGTGTGGTGGGGGGATGTGTGGTGGAGTGTGTGTGGTGTGGGGAGTGATGTGTGGTGGTGGGGGGGGATGTGTGGTGGTGGGGTGTGTGTGTGCGTGTGGGAAGGAGGGAGGGTTGGATCCGAGGCTGTCTGAAAACAGTATTAAAACACATTACAGTTGAACTTTTTGCAGTTTAATGGAGAATATGACAAACGACCAATACAGTAAGCTCCCAAAGTATTGGGACAGTGACAAATGTGTTGTTGTTTTGTCTCTGTACTTCAGCAATTTGGATTTGAAATGATACAATGACTAAAGTTACAGACACACAAATATCATACCCCCAGGACATGCTAACCTCTCACCATTACAGTAACAGGGGAGGTAAAAAATGTTTTTGGGGGGGTACGATATTTGTGCGTCTGTAACTTTCTCACTCATCATTATTCACGATTCATTCAGGATTATCCGTAATCATGGTAGCATCCACATTAATGTAGAAGTGTTAAGAAACATATTATATTCTTATTTACAAATTAAGTGACTCCAAAATGGCACAATGCATTATTTACCATTAATTTTCATTGGGCACAAAATAATCAGAAACACAACCAAAACAAACAGCAAATACATCCAACCAATTTGTAGAGTCACAAGCTTGATATAGTCATTGCATGCTATGAATATGGGACCACACACTTAACTTTGTACTACTTTAAAACACATCTAAGTGGATTTGTGTCACGAGAATTTCTATCTCTAATACTCAAGCTTTGAATAATTCCCAGAGGTTGTAAGACTCTAGTTAATTAAGAATTAAACACATTCTCCAGTCTGCAATGGATCAGCAATTTTATTCAGAGAGCGCTCTGGCGCTAAAAACACACACATCCTTTTTATATGCATCCACACAAAGAACTTTGCTCCGCCCACCTTTAGGCGGCCTATACATTTCCACAGTATAGAATGGTTAAGTTTGACAGTTTCTAGGTCTCCTTTCCCCTGGAATGTTTGTCTCAGCAGTTTCTACCCCTCTTTTCTGTTAGTGGGTTTATTGTCTTATAACTCTAACACAGTTTACATAGTTAAACAGTATCAGGGTGGAATACTTTTAGTCATTATAATAAACATACAAATTCATCTATCAATTTGTCCCAATACTTTTGGTCCCCTAAAATGGGGGGGACGACTATGTACAAAAGGTGCTGTAATTTCTAAACGGTTCACCCAATATGGATGAAAATACCCTCAAATTAAAGCTGACAGTCTACACTTTAACATCATAGTCATTGTATCATTTCAAATTCAAAGTTCTGGAGTACAGCGCCAAAACAACAACACATGTGTCACTGTCCCAATACATTTGGAGCTCACTGTATGTAATGTAAAATAAACCAGAGGATCCACCAACGTAATAAACCTAATCTAAAAAGGAAAATGGAAAATGTGTGAAATGACCGTTCATGTCTGAATAGTCAGTCAGTATGAGTAATCTCTCTATGTGTGTCTGCAGAGCTCAGAGAACAACGCTACATGCATGGTCAAGCCCACCCTGGTGTCTAAGCCATACTACAGGGTGGACCTCTTCAATAGGTACATGAACAACATCCTGCTCACCTCAGTACTGGTCACCATCATCGGGAACAACACTGTGGCACACATTGGCACTAAGGACGGCAGGCTGTTGCAGGTGTGTGTGTGATACAGTACAGTAAACTCCTGAAACGTCTGGTGGGAGAATATGATAATATAATATATTAATGAATGCAGACAGTGAAAGTGGAGGTAGATGGAGTTATATTTCAAAGTTTTACCATGTGCATGACTGTCTTTTCTCAAGTATAAACATTATATAATCAGTGCTCTCCAATGACGTTCATTAGCTCTCTCAGCATTGTAACCAACATAAGTAGAACATATCACAAGTCCATTCCTTTCATAGGTCTGCAATGGCTTAATGATATAGTTTATTTGACTGTTGTAGCTCATCCTGAGGAGGTCAAGTCCCATCATCTTTGCCAACTATTCTCTGGGAGAGGACACCAAGGTGTCCAGGAAAGCAGCTGTGCAATCTAACGAGTCCTTGCTCTTTGTGGTTGGAAATAAGGTGCCTTTTCAATTCAATCATAAATACTTACTGGTATTCACTTGTTTTTTACTTGTGACTTATTTTGGCAATGTGTGACCATTTCCTCTCTCTCTCTCTCTCTCTCTCTCTCTCTCTCTCTCTCTCTCTCTCGCTCTCTCTGTCTCTCTGTCTCTCGCTCTCTCTCGCTCTCTCTGTCTCTCTCTCTCTGTCGCTGTCTCTCTTTGTCTTTCTTTCTCTATTCTCTCTCTGTGCCAGATGTTCAGTGTGTCTCCTAAAGGACCAGGATGTAAACACTTCCTGACCTGCTCCACGTGTCTGACGGCGCCCAGGTTCATAGGGTGTGGCTGGTGTTCGGGGGCGTGCACCAGGCAGGAGGAGTGCCTCCTCCAGTGGAAGAGTGAGTCCTGTCCTCCGGTCATCACGAAGGTAAGACTGCTGGGGGCTGAAGTAGGGAGTTGAAGAGAAGATGACTCAGCAGAGGGAGGGTCTTGTCTTGTCTTTTCATCTGATCATAAATGTCAGAACAACGACCACCAAACACGTAGGTCGAAGAAACCAAGACATTAGCAATAGGATATTTGAAACCGAGTACAGTGCCTTCAGAAGGTATTCACACCGCTTTACTTTTTCCACATTTTGTTATGTTACAGCCTGAATTTAAAATGGATTACATTGAGATTTTGTGTCACTGGCCTACACACAATACCCCATAATGTCAAAGTGGAATTATGTTTTTATAAATGTTTACAAATTAATTAAATGAAAAGCTGAAATCAATAAGTATTCAACCCCTTTGTTATAGCAAGCTTAAATAAGTTCAGTAGTAATAATTTGCTTAACAAGTCACAATACGTTGCATGGACTCACTCTGTGTGCAATAATAGTGTTTAACAGGATTTTTGAATGACTACCGCATCTCTGTACCCCACACATATAATTACAGTATCTGTAAGGTCCCTCAGTCGAGCAGTGAATTTCAAACACAGATTCAACCCCAAAAAACAGGGAGGTTTTCCAATGCCACGCAAAGAAGGGCACCTATTGGTAGATGGGTAAAAAAAAATAGAGATTGAAAATCCCTTTGACCATGGTAAAGTTATTAATTACACTTTAGATGGTTTATCAATACACCCAGTCACTACAAAGATACAGGCGTCCTTCCTAACTCAGTTGCTGGAGAGGAAGGAAACTGCGCAGGGATTTCACCATGAGGCCAATGGTGACTTTAAAACAGTTACAGAGTTAAATGGCTGTGATAGGAGAAAACGGAGGATATATCAACAACATTGTAGTTACTCCACAATACTAACCTAAATGACAGAGTGAAAAGAAGGAAGCCTGTACAGAATAAAAATATTCCAAAACATGCATCCTGTTTGTAATAAGGCACTAAAGTAAAACTGCAAAAAAAAATAGCATAGAAATTAAATTTATTTCCTGAATACAAAGCGTTATGTTTGGGGCAAATCCAACACAACACATCACTGAGTACCACCCTTCATATTTTCAAGCATGGTGGTGGCTGCATCATGTTATGGGTATGCTTGTCATCGGCAAGGACTAGGGAGTTTTTAGGATAAAAAGAAACAGAATAGATCTAAGCACAGGCAAAATCCTAGAGGAAAACCTGGTTCAGTCTGCTTTCCAACAGACACTGGAGTTGCTTACCAAGATGACATTGAATGTTCCTGAGTGGCCTAGTTACAGTTTTGACTTAAATTGGCTTGAAAATGGCTGTTTAGCGATGATCAACAACCAACTTGACAGAGCTTGAAGAATTTTTTAAATAATAATATGCAAATATTGTACAATCCAGATTTGCAAAGCTCTTAAGCCTTGTTCACACTGCAGGCCTTAATGCTCAAATCAGTTTAGTTTTTCAAATCCGTTTTGGACTACTGAATGTTCAAACAGCAAGTTACAAGTGACCAAATCGGATTTGTTTGTGTTCAGCCAGCAGTCATTTGCAGACAAGGCTACGCTAGTTGTCATATTAATGACGGGTGTGTGTGCAGTTGTGTAGGCTGATTGGTGGTGGTGCTCATGCTTCCTATCACTCAGAAGTTATGTAGCACGCTAAGGTGACAACGATGCCTGCCATGGTCGTTTCTCAGTTGCTTTCAATGTTCAAAATCTGCCTTCAGAAAGAACACTTAAAGCCTCAAAGGATAACATGATCCAACTTTCAAAACAAGTCCTTTTTGGCTAGCCACAGCAGTTTAACCTAGCTAGGTAGCTGTTTAACTTTCTAGCACATTCATTCGTTTGTTTGTAAACAATTAACAAGCTAGTTAGCTACCACATGTTCTTGTCAAACTGGCAACAGACTAGCTAGCAAGCAACAAGATATGCTGAATAACAGTCTAAATCCCGCTTGAGGGCAAATAAATCAGATTTGAATGTTCAGACACAAGTCACATGGCCAGGAATCAGATTTGTATCTTAATTTATGTAAACCACCTATGAAGGTGGTTTGAAATGTGTCTTGAAATATCTGATTCCATGTGCTTTTTGGCTGTTCAGGGTACAGGAAAAAGAACAGATTCAAATCAGATTTGCAAATAAATAGGGTTTGAGTCACTTCAAACTGCCAATGTGAACAAGGCTTTAGAGACTTACCCAGAAAGACTCACAGCTGTAATCACTGCCAAAGTTGATTCTAACATATATTGACTCAGGGGTGTGACTACTTATGTAAATGAGATATTTCTGTATTTCATTTTCAATAAATGTGCAAACATTTCTAAAAACATGTTTTCACTTTGTCATTATGGGGTAGTATGTGTAGATGGGTGAGGAAAAAAAGTATCAATTTAATCCATTTTGAATTCAGGCTGTAACACAACAACATGTGGAATAAGTCAATGGGTATGAATACTTTCTGAAGGCACTGTAGTTCAGTATTTGAGGAAATTAGTTAAGCATTTGAGGAAGTTTCAACTGCATCTGAGACAAGTCTTCCTGATGGTATTGTATTGGGGATCCAGTTTTTCCCAAAGACGGCTCCCCCTGATGGTGAGACAGAGCTGAGGCTGTGTGGCTGGGAGTTCCAGTCTCCTCTACGACCAGCCATCATCAGCGAGGAGACCCACTTGGTGCGAGTGGGAGAGACCCCCTGCACTGTGCTGTCAGAGAAGAGCAATAGTACACAGTGAGTAACACACACAGACAGACAGATAGAATGTATAGAGAAAATAAACTCATCCCAAATAAACTCTGTGAAACACTTTTATGCTGAGGCTATAGGCATCACTGATCTTTCTCGCTGACCCTTCCTTCCTAGGCTGGTGTGTAGCCTTCACCCTAAGGTTCCAGGTCCATCCCAGGATCTCAACATCACTGTGGCAGTGCATGAGGGGAAGGTGAAGGGACGCTACTCAATCCAAGGCCATGCCCAAATGATAGGGTTCACTTTTGTGGTGAGGAGGATTACATTTATTTTATTGTTGACACAGTAAAAAACGAATTTGCATTAGAGAGGCTTCCATTAAACAAAACCCTCTGTGTTCTATTAGATACATAACTCTCAATCCATGATAAGGCAGAGGATGTAAATCCAGAAATAACTGACACCCTTAACATAGAGCTCCAGTCAGTTTTAGAATGGGTATCTAGCAATAGGCTGGTGCTAAATATCTCAAAAACTAAAAACTGTGTTTTTGGGACAAATAACTCAACCCTAAACCTCAACCAGGCAGGTCCTACAGGCCCTAGTTTTGTTGCACATGGACTAGTGCCCAGTTGTGTGGTCATGTACGACAAAGAAGGACATAAGAAAATTGCAGTTGGTCCAGAACAGAGCAGCATGTATTGCACTTAGATGTACACGGAGGGTGAATGTCAGTGGTATGCATGTCGATCTCTCCTGGCTCAAAGTTGTGGAGAGATTGACTGCAACACTATTGGTCTTTGTGAGAGGTGTTGATGGGTTAAAGGTACCGAGCTGTCTGTTCAAGCAGTTGGCACACAGTTCGGACACTCATCAGGACCACATAAGACATGCGGTCTCTTCACAGTCCCCAGGTCCAGAGCAGAGGCTGGGAAACACAGTATTAAATAGAGCCATGACTACATGTAACTCAGGTAACTTAAACTAGCAATAAAACCAGATTCAAAAACCAGATAAAAGAACATGCAATTATCTGGCAACAGCTCTGGTGGACATTCCTGCAGTCAGCATGCCAATTACAAGCTCACTCAAAGCTTGAGACATCTGTGGCATTGGGTTGTGTGACCTTTTATTGTCCCCAGAACAAGGTGCACCTGTGTAATGATCATGGTGTTTAATCAGCTTCTTGATTTGCCACACCTGTCAGGTGGATGGACTATCTTGGCAAAGGAGAAATGCTCACTAACAGGGGTGTAAACTAATTTGTGCACAACATTAGAGAAAAATAAGCTTAATTTCAAGGATTCTTTTATTCAGCTCATGAAACATGGGACCAACACTTTACATGTTACGTTTGATTTTTGTTCAGTGTATGGCAACAAAAATATAAACGCAACATGCAACAATTTCAAAGAGTTAAAGTTCACATAATCAGTCAAAATCAGTCAATTGAAATAAATTCATTAGGCTCTAATCTATGGATTACACATGACTGGGAATACAGATATGCATCTGTTCGTCACAGATACCTTAAAAAAACTGTAGGGGCGTGGATCAGAAAATCAGTCAGTATCTGGTGTGACCACCATTTGCCTCATGCAGCACGACACATCTCCTTCGCATAGAGTTGATCCGGCTGTTGATTGTGGCCTGTGGAATGTTGTCCCACTCATCTTCAATGGCTGTGTGAAGTTGCTGGATATTGGCGGGAACTGGAACACACTGTCGTACACATCGATCCAGAGCATCCCAAACATGCTCAATGGGTGACATGTCTGGTGAGTATGCAGGCCTTGGAAGAACTGGGACATTTTCAGCTTCCAGGAATTGTGTACAGATCCTTGTGATATGGGGCCGTGCATTATCATGCTGAAACGTGAGGTGATGGCGGCGGATGAATGGCACGACAATGGGCCTCAGGATCTCGTCACGGTAACTCTGTGCATTCAAATTGCCATAGATAAAATGCAATTGTGTTCGTTGTCCATAGCTTATGCCTGCCCATAACATAACCCCACCGCCATCATGGGGCACTCTGTTCCCAACATTGACATCAGCAAACCGCTCGCACACACAACTCCATAAAAGTGGTCTGCGGTTGTGAGGCCAGTTGGACGTACTGCCAAATTCTCTAAAACGACATTGGAGGTGGCTTATATTAGAGAACTGGACATTAAATTCTCTGGCAACAGTTCTGGTGGACATTCCTGCAGTCAGCATGCCAATTGCACCCCCCCTCAAAATTGTCCCCAGCACAAGGTGCCCCTGTGTAATGATCATGCTGTTTAATCAGCTTCTTGATATGCTACACCTGTCAGGTGGATGGATTATCTTTGCAAATGAGAAATGCTCACTAGCAGGTATGTAAACAACATTTGAGAGAAATAAGCGTTTTGTGCATATCCAACATTTCTGAGATCTTTTATTTCAGCTCATGGATCATGAGATCAACACTTGACATGTTGCGTTTATAATTTCGTTCTGTATGTACAGTACCAGTCAAAAGTTTGGACACACCTACTCATTCAAGAGTTTTTCTTTATTTTTACTATTTTCTACATTGTATAATAATAGTGAAGACATCAAAACTATTAAATAATACATATGGAATCATGTAGTAACCAAAAAAGTGTTAAACAAATCAAAATATATTTTATATTTGAGATTCTTCAAGCGTGCAAACACAGCCCTCAATGTGCTCATGTGATCAAGCCAGGTAGTTGAATGAACAACCAGGTCATCAAGATATGCGGTAACAATCAGGGACATCAGCCAATACAATATTTTCCAAACGTGGCCGGGGCGTTCCTCATTCCAAAAGCCATTACTGTGTACTGGCAGAAACTGTCAGGGGTTACAAAGCAGACACCTCAGAGGCACGAGGGGTTAAAGGCACCTGCCAATAACCTTTTAACAAGTAAAGTTTAGTAACATACGCAGCCGATCCAATGGTGTCTTTACAGTCGTCCATGCGAGGTAAAGGGAATGAGTCAGGTATAGTAACATTATTCACTTGTCTGTAGTCAGTGCAAAACCTTTGAGTCCCGTCAGGCTTTGGAATCAGCAGACAGGGGGGAACTCCAAGGACTGCCACTGGGGATTGCCATCTCATTTCCCACTAAATAAGTTACCTCTTTCTTCATCACTCCCCTCTTGGTTGAATTCACACGATAAGGGTGCTGTTTGATTGGAGCAGCATCACCTACATTTATATCATGTTTCAACACATTTGTACGACTGGGAACATCCTTAAAGAGACTCGGAAAGTCAGTGATTAGTAATTCAATATCAGCCCTCTGCTGATTATTCAAGTGCAACAAATGGGATTGGAGAGACGCTACCATCTCCGAATTACATGAACGAGCACACTGCTCAGGAGTATTTTGCATCACCAAACTGTCCTCATCATTTACGCTGACTCCTGGGTGGGTAACCATGCTCACAGAAGCAACAGAGGATACCACAGGAGGTTTACTGGTAATGGGGGATTCGATACCAACTCTAACATGATAGGCTTAATCATGTTAATGTGACATACCCGAAATGGGCGTCTACGGTCTGGCATTTTGATAACATAATCAGTATCACTGAGTTTTCGCTCCACCAAATATGGGCCAGAGAAACTGGAAGAGAGACACGAGCCGGGTACCGGCAACAACACCTTAGACTTGGTCACCTGGTTGAAAAGAACTAGACGCCGTTTCTACATTAAAGTGACGTTTCATTTTCTTTTGTGTGGAAGACAGATTTTCTCTGGCTACAGCACAGGCGTCATGCAACCGCTCCCGGACTTGACTAACATAGTCTAGTACATTAGTAGAGGACCCAACTGAATCATCAGCCATAATTTGTTCTTTCAGTACCTTGAGAGGCCCTCTCACTGTGTGACCAAAGATTAGCTCAGCTGGGCTAAACCCAAGAGACTCTTGTACGGTCTCCCGAATAGCAAACAGCACGTACCACACCCCCTCATCCCAATATTTTTCTGTGTCCATACAGTATTTACGCAACATGGCTTTTAGCGTCTGATGCCAACGTTCCAGCGCACCCTGACTCTCCGGGTGGTAAGCGCTAGACATCTGATGGGACACTGACAAGGACTTCAACAAACTTCCAAACAATCTCAATGTAAAATTAGTGCCTTGATCCGTCTGTACGATTTTTTGAAATCCAAAGGTAGAGAAATACTTAATCAGCAACTTCACAATTGCCTTACTTGTGATTTTACGTATAGGAATCGCCTCTGGGTACCTTGTAGCAGTGCACATTATTGTTAACAAGAATTGATTACCCGTCTTAGTCCTGGGTAATGGACCAACACAATCGATTATTACTTTCTCAAACGGCTCTCCCATGACCGGAATCGGGCAGAGAGGAGCCGGGGAAATTACCTGGTTAGGCTTCCCCACCACTTGGCACGTACTACATGTACGGCAATAACGAGCTACATCCCGTTTCATTCCCGGCCAGAAGAAAAGACGGAGGATTCGATCGTAGGTTTTAGTCACCCCTAGATGACCAGACCAGGGAATATCATGAGCTAGGGACAACACCTTCTTCTGAAACGTGTCAGGAACTACAATCTGGAAGACGGAACTCCAATAATTTTCTAGGTCAGCACGGGGAGTCCATTTTCTCATCAAAAGACCCTTCTCAAGGAAATACGTCACGCCTTTCCTTTTTGCCTCACTCAAAGGTAACATGGAGGAAAAACATTTGGCCAAGCCCACATCCTCTTTCTGGGCAGCTATTAGCTTCTCCCGAGTAACTGGCAACCTTAAACAGTCCACCGAGGAAGCCATTGTTTTGTCTTTATTACCATCATCATAATCAGAACTCACTGGGAACACAGGAGTAGAACACTGGATATCTTCCCCATTCAACATAGGTGCAAGCACAGAGTCAGCTAAGTCTACCATGGTACCTAAGCGACGCGACTGCGCACGCGTAATGGAACACGCTGGAAATGCTTCTGGAAACGTAGTGGCCAAAACATCAGCACTTGACTGAGTATCAGGCTTGTCCAGCACTTCTAACACAGGCACAACTTTGCCTCCTGCTAGATCGTTACCCATGATTAGAGCAACCCCATTCACGGGAAGCTCGGACTGTACACCGATTTTGAAACATCCACTCACTAGATCAGAAGTCAAATGGACAGAATGTAACGGAACAGGCACACAACCCATTTCGATCCCCCTTAATAATACACTAGAGCCACAATAAGACTCCTCTGACCAGGGCAGAACACTCGAGAGAATTACAGACTGAGCCACACCAGTATCTCTCAATATCAAAACTGTCTTTTGTTCTCCAGAATCACCTGTCAGTGAAACAAAGCCTTTAAATATGAACAGGTAGTACAACCCCAGGACTCTCCTTTATAGAGCTCTTAGAGTTTACCTTAATCAAACCCACACTTTTATGGGGTTTAGGGGTTGAAGGGGGTGACTTGCGTTTTAGAGACATACATCCCGAAATTACGTGTCCGACTTTATGACAGTAAAAACATGCGCGTTCCTCCTTTGGAGTCAGCCGTGTACTTCCTGAGTACGGTGGGAATTGTAGACAGGAGAAGATACAACCGGTCTATTCTCACTACGGTGTGTGGGAAACACCATTTTATGTGTTAACACAAATTCATCTGCAAGCACCGCAGCGTCAGATAACTTTAACACTTTCTGTTCATTAATGTATACAACCAACCGCTCTGGGAGGCTGTTTTTAAATTCTTCCAATAACATTAATTCACGAAGACCTTCAAAGTCATTGATTTTACTTGCTGAGCACCATTTGTCAGAGACTCCTTCTCTCTAGCGAATTCAACAAACGTTTTTATAGAGGATTTGGAGTGCTTTCTAAACTTTTGTCTATAAGCCTCCAGCACCAGCTCATACCCACGGAGCACAGTAGCCTTAACAATGTCGTAATTAAGACTATCAGCGAGAGAGAGAGTACCCATCACTTCCTGCGCTTTAACGGACAATTTACACTGAAGTAACAGAGGCCACACATCCCTAGGCCAATTCAAAGCCACTGCTATACGTTCGAATGAACAAAAGTAAGAGTCAACCTCAGACTCACGGAATTGTGGAACTAAAGCAATATGCCGGCTAATGACAAAGGTAGAGGCAGATCCTGGGGTGGAAAACACACTAGTGGGAACGGCAGGGACAGCGGCCAGCCTCGCCGTCTCTGCCTCTAATTCCAATTTGCGCATTTCAAAGTCCATCTGCCTTATCTTAATGTCCTTTTCTGCTTCCAACTTCAGTCGGCGCATCTCCAACTTGAGATATAGCTCATCCATTCGGAATTGTGCTCTCTCTTCTGCCTCCAGCTGCAGCCGTAGGCATAGGAGAGATAGGGTCAAATCGAGGCAAGGTGGCCGGGGCCTTATACTCGACCTCATCATCGGGCCTATACGGGGTACCCGGAGTATCCACCACCTCTCTATCCGCAGGCCAAGGCAAAACCAACACCTGCTGTTCAAACAGCGCCACTAACACCAATGCCCTTACCTGCGCCTTAACAAAACCCCTTGGCACGGAGATATCTAAATGGTCTGCCAAAGTCTCTAAATCCACTCCTACAATTCTCAAAACCCTCACACATAGGGTTATCCAGAAGAAACTTAAGGTTAAAGGTGGCCATTTTCTAAATCCACCACCTAAGTACAACATCCAACACAGAACTAAACACTACACCCAACACAACAACCACACAATCCACATCTACCACCAAAGTGTGCGGGCACAAGCTGGATCAAAGATCCCGGACGAGCCCCCATGTTACGTTCTCCCCTCGGGTGTAGTTCGTCTGAGGAGGAGACGTAAATGCCTGTGCCTGCGCACACAAGGTAAACTAGATGGATGGGGAAGAAATGTGGGGTGTAACTAACTAAAATAATCAGACACTACAACCAGAACTCAATGTTAGCCGTCGGGGGACGTTTAGTAAGTTACTAAACAAAATAACATACAACACCCATAAAGAAGCCGTACTAAAACAAAGATCAATCAAACAAACCAGGGAAGGTAAGAGAAGGGAATGTTTGGGAACGGGGTCCAAGTAATGAAAATAAACAAACGGTCCCTCCTCTTCTAGACACCCAATCCTTCCTATCACACTCTAAGCCTTATCCAGCTTTCCTACCTGTTACCACAAATACAGGGGTGACACCCGCCCGGCTAACCTAGTGTGTAAAACAGTGGGTTATCTATGTGTGAATGTACACCCATGGGCAGAACTACCTTTCCCTTCTCCAGGACCCAGGTAGGGTGGAATACAGCAGGAGGACAGGCTGGAACACAAACAAAGATCAATCAAAACAACCAATAACCAAATCCACAAACAGCCAAACAAAAAGTGCCCTCTCTCACGACAAACAGTTTATACTCTAGTCAATCAGCCACAGCTGCCAGGACTCCGGACCGAAGCCACACCCACCATCGTCAGCCGCAACTCAGCACACCTGTAATGACCAGAACACACAAACAGAACAACCACTCTGAACCACACACTACAAAGGAAGATTGGGAGAAAGAAAAACATGTAACACGTAACACCCACCGTAAAGCATGGAAGAGGAGGTGTTATGGTGTGGGGGTGCTTTGCTGGTGACACTGTCTGTGATTTATTTAGAATTCAAGGCACACTTAATCAGCATGGCTACCACAGCATTCTGCAGCAATACGCCATCCCATCTGGTTTGGGCTTAGTGGGACTATCATTTGTTTTTCAACAGGACAATGACCCAACACACCTCCAGGCTATTTAAGCGCTATTTTGCCAAGAGGGAGAGTGATGGAGTGCTGCATAAGATGACCTGGCCTCAACCAAATTGAGATGATTTGGGATGAGTCGGACCGCAGATTGAAGGAAAAGCAGCCAACAAGTGCTCAACATATGTGGGAACTCCTTCAAGACTGTTGGAAAAGCATTCCAGGTGAAGCTGGTTGAGAGAGTGCCAAGAGTGTGCAAAGCTGTCATCAATGCAAAGGGTGGCTATTTGAAGAATCTCAAATATAAAATATATTTGGATTTGTTTAACACTTTTTTGGTTATTACATGATTCCATATGTGTTATTTCATAGTTTTGATGTCTTCACTATTATTCTACAATGTAGAAAATAGTAAAAATTAAGAAAAACCCTTGAATGAGTAGGTGTTCTAAAACTTTTGACCAGTAGTGTATGTAAATATGTATGTATGTAACTGCCAAATTAAAGGAAACAGCTGAGTAAATGAGGGATACAAAGTATATTGGAAGCAGGTGCTTCCACACAGGTTTATATATATATATGTGTGTACACTACCTTTCAAAAGTTTGGGGTCACTTAGAAATGTCCTTGTTTTCGAAAGAAAAGCAATTTTTTTGTCCATTAAAATAACGTCAAATTGATCATAAATATAGTGTAGACAATGTTAATGTTGTAAATGGCTATTGGAGCTGGAAACTGCTGATTTGTAATAAAATTATCTACATATGCGTACAGAGGCCCATTATCAGCAACCATCAGTCCTGTGTTCCAATGGCACGTTGTGTTTGCTAATCCAAGTTTATCATTTTAAAAGGCTAATTGATCATTAGAAACCCTTTTGCAATTATGTTAGCACAGCTGAAAACTGTTGTGCTGATTAAAGAAGCAATAAAACTGGCCTTCTTGAGACTAGTTGAATATCTGGAGCATCAGCAATTGTGGGTTCGATTACAGGCTCAAAATGGCAAGAAACGAATAACTTTCTTCTGAAACTCGTCAGTCTATTCTTGTTCTGAGAAATGAAGGCTATTCCATGCGAGAAATTGCCAAGAAACTGAAGATCTCGTACAACGCTGTGTACTACTCCCTTCACAGAACAGCGCAAGTTGGCTCTAACCAGAATAGAAAGAGGAGTGGGAGGCCCTGCTGCACAACTGAGCAAGAGGACAAATACATTAGAGTGTCTAGTTTGAGAAACAGACGCCTCACAGGTCCTCAACTGGCAGCTTCATTAAATAGTACCCGCAAAACACCAGTGTCAACGTCAACAGTGAAGAGGCGACTCCGGAATGCTGACCTTCAGAGTTGCAAAGAAAAAGCCATATCTCAGACTGGCCAATAAAAAGAAAAGATGAAGATGGGCAAAAGAACACAGACACTGGACTTTTTCTTTGCAACTCTGCCTAGAAGGTCAGCAGCCCGGACTGATGGTTGCTGATGGTTGCTGATAATGGGCCTCTGTACGCCTATGTAGATATTCCATTACAAATCAGCCGTTTCCAGCTAGAATAGCCATTTACAACATTAACAATGTCTACACTGTATTTCTGATCAATTTGATGTTATTTTAATGGACAAACAAATTGCTTTTCTTTCGAAAACAAGGACATTTTTACGTGACCCCAAACGTTCGAACGGTAGTGTATATATTTCATTCACCCTAATGACTACTTTTCTATCCAGGAGCCAAGTATCACAGAAATCACTCCTGACTACGGGCCTCAAATAGGGGGAACCTTGGTCACAGTGACAGGGCCTCACTTGAATGCTGGGATGATAAAGACTGTGTCTATAGGAGACCAGGACTGCCCCGTCAAGAGGTAATTATGGGCATCAACCTCTCTGTTTTCATTGGTTTCTGCTGTGTTCTTTTCTCTCACAAGGTCTCTCATTGCAACTAAAGAATATGTCCCTTTCTTAGTATGTGTCTATCTGTATCTACGGTATATCAGTGTTCATAATATGACGTTTTTGTCCCGCTCGGTACGGTGTCTCTGCCAGTGTCTCTGAGGGTACTGGGACCATGTCCTCCATAGTCTGCCTGTCCAAAGGGTTGGCAGTGGTGAAGAAGGTGCCTGTCAGGGTTTTCATTGACCAATCCCAAGTGTCTACTACGAAGATGTTTCACTACAAGAAGGACCCTGTGATCACTGTGATACAGCCAGCCTGCAGCTTCACAAGGTAGGCCATACTTAATCTCGTTTACCCACAAGTCAAATTCTCGCAAAATTGTCACTTCCTGAATCTGTCCACGAGAGATTAGGCCGTGCTATACTCACTGGCCAGCTGGCATCATCTGGGTGCTTCAGGGCTTAGCTGTCTGACCAATGCGCTGCTTTATAGAACTGTAGAAAAGGGTTGAAAAGACAGTTGATAGCAGGCATAGTGCATAGTGTTAGATACAATGACAGAACAGCCAGTAATAAGGCATGTGTATTCAGTGCAGTGCCTACACTTTTAGCTGTGCAGGAAATGTTCAACCTCTCTTGAGACAATCAGGTCAATCTAAGTGAGGATATGGTGATAGACAGGCCAACAGAAATAGACATGCTGAGACCTGTTGTGGGTCCATTTGTGGGTCTCATTTCAGCAACTGCCACAAAAATAATAAAGAATAAACTGCAAATAGTGCTGGTTTCCCCACAATGTACAGTCAGCATCAGTGACCTCTAACACCAAGTCTATATTTGTTTGTTTTTATTTGTTGAATCTTGTGATTAAGTGGATCCAAAATCATAATCAAAGGCGACAATCTGGACTCTGCGTACAACACTGTGATCCTCTACAAATCCCACAACCCCTCCCAGAATCTTCTGCAGCGTGTAAGTTATCCTCTAGGATTAACAACCCCGGGCCTCATAAACCTAACATTGGGATAACATCTATGAAATGTCAGTAAATTACCCCCAGAATACTGTTATTGACATTATTTGATGTCTTGAATGTAACCCAGGTCTGCAACGGCACAGCAACCCCCACACGTATGGAGTGCTTCGCCCCTGTTTTCCCCAGTAATGAGACAGACAAGGGCATCATCACTATCAACATGGACGGGGCCAACAAACTCCTGGTGAAGCACTTCGACTACCAACCAGACGCCAGCATCACCCCCTTTGAGTATGAAGGCAACATACTGAGCCTGAGCCCTGGACAAACTGAGGTTTCACTGCATGTACGTTCACAATTATACACACAGGCATCATCAACCAGCTAGGTAGACAGTCAATCAATCACCATGGTTTTCAACCAGTACAGTAACTCTAGTAACTCTACATTGAACAATTGATTAATGTGTAAATCCGACCATGACTGTTGTACAAGTAGTTGATTTCTTCGTATCTTAGGTCCCAGCGGGCAAAGCTGATTGGTTGAAATAACGTCATTGCAAGTAAATAATACCAAGGCTCCAATAAGTACCACAATGAGTCTTGCTCTGCCATGTTCTGCAGCACAACAAGCTGAGCATGGTGAGTCCCTGTATGGAGATTACAATGACCATCGGAGGTGTGGACTGTGGCGTCCAGGTACTGGACAACGAACTGACCTGCAGGATCCCCAAGGATCTCATCATCCCCAGTGAAGGGTCACCTGTCAGGGTGAGCTACTCTACTTACTGTAATGGTTAACCTAATTGAACTTAACCCTTAGTTAACCATTATCATGCCTGTTCTATAGTAAACCGAACTGGGCCATTAGTAACAGTTGTCATAAAGAAAACAGGTTTTGGGTCAATTCCATTTAAATTAATTGGAATTAGAATTTCAGTTTACATTGACTGAATTGAAATGGAATTGACCCTAACCTTAAAAGCAAGCCATCAATCCATGAGTAAACTGGTCCTAAAGTAAAGTAATATAAAAACGATCCTAAAGTCTGAGTGATATCCTGGTTTCTGTCCCAGGTGTCTGTGAATGGGCGTGCCTATGAGGTGGGCACTGTGGTCTTCATCAGCAACACCGTCAACACAGTGGGTGTGGTGATGGGGATCTTTGCTGCGTTGTGCTTTGGCGCTTCCCTGGCGTTCATCGCCATGAAACATGTGATGAGAAAAAAGAAAGGTGAGAACCATTACTGTCCGTGGGATTCGCTACCATGGGATTACCATGGGATTACCATGGGATTACCATAAGATTCGCTTTCACCTACCATTACAGTTGTAGGAGATTAATTTGATAACCCTGTTGCAGGAGAACTTTCCTGCAATGCAGGACATGTTAAACTTGTAGTGTATTTGAGGTTTAAACAGACTTCTGAAGTTTGTAATTTCCATTTTTAAATTCAACCTATAAAAATAAATCCATTAATTATAATCCACATAATAATATACATTTCCTGTTGCTGCAAATGGCTCAAATTAAGATCCTACATCTGTACTCTTGTAGTATGTAATCCAGAATGTGTGCATTTTAAGACATTTTTGCTTTGATTTAAGTATGTATATGACAATGCATTAATTGTGTTGATTTAGAAATTTCAGCCAACGTAGAGTTTCGTTTAGCAAGGATGTCCGTCCGCAGCAGAATAGACAACAACCCTGACCTATCCCCCACAGGTGACTATAGACGAGGTGAGACCCTTGATGTGATAACTTATTATGATTCATCAATCTTGTTATTCATTCATTCAATCAATGGTTTTTCTTGCTGTTTCCTCTGTACTCCAGACCTGTCCAACCAGCCGAGCCAGACGACAGGCTCAGGAGGGATAGCCTTCCATGGCCTGGTCTACACTGCCGCCTTTGACCCCTCGGCCGTGCCTCTGATCTCATTGGACACCCTGAGACCTGAGCTCCTGGAGGAGGTCAGAGACGTCCTGATCCCAGCCGACACGGTCAACGTTCACCGCAACCAGATCATTGGTAAAGGTATGGATAGAGCGGTCCCAGATCTGTCCTATGGTCATTGTAACGCCAAACAGATCGGGACCTCCTCAGACACTGAGAGAAGAAACATGCTTCTGGTAGTCATCTTCAATTCAATAGTATCCAGCCATTTCTATTTCCACTCAATCACATGTTCATTCTTTTTTCATTTAAAATATGTAACTAGACTAGAGCAATATCCCCAAAAACACTGATGTCATTTTGTTGTTATTCAGGTCATTTTGGCACTGTGTACCACGGCTACCTAACAGACAGCAAGAACCAAGAACAGTTAATCCACTGTGCTGTTAAATCATTGAACAGTAAGTGGATTATTTAAATTCTGTTTGGCTGAGCCCTCTTGCCATAAACAACTATGCTAGTCATTTGCTGTGTGTATATCCTGCTAGTTTCATGTAGAACAATGCTCTCTCGTGCTCTCTCTCGCTCTCAGGGATCACAGCCCTGGAGGAGGTGGAGCAGTTCCTGAGAGAGGGCATCCTGATGAAGGAGTTCCACCACACCAACGTTTTGTCCCTGTTGGGCATTCTTCTGCCTCAGGATGGGCTCCCCCTGGTGGTGCTGCCCTATATGAAACATGGAGACCTGCGCCACTTTATACGCTGCGAAAGGAGGGTAAGTCAAACTATAGGGCCTTTCTTTGTCAAAGTAAATGGAAAGAATCACCAGATTTAACTGATACCTAACCTTTTTCACTGGTGTAGTGAAGATTACTGCAAGTGCTTAGGTTTTATTAATGATATCTCACCAACAACTCCTCTGTTCTACTCTTTCTCTTCTCCTCCAGAACCCAACGGTGAAAGACCTGATTGGCTTTGGGCTGCAAGTTGCCAAAGGGATGGAGTACCTGGCCCAGAAGAAGTTTGTACACAGAGACCTGGCAGCTCGGAACTGCATGTAAGTCCAGGGCAGGCCTGTCACTCATACCTTTGGACACTCCAACACACACACACAAACACTCACTCCATCAGGGGATTGGAAGTGATGCAGACAATTACATTGATGGAAGTTATAATCTATCGGCAATATTAAAGCTGATCTACCCCCTACAAAAAAAAAGAAAAGAAAAAATGAAACACTCTCACTCCATCATAATATGCACATACATTTATACTGACTCTAAACACACCCACTCACGTACAATCATCATATACGCTGCTGCTACTCTGTTTATCATATATCCTGATGCCTAGTCACCTTACCCCTATACATACAGTATCTACAGTGGGGAGAACAAGTATTTGATACACTGCCGATTTTGCAGGTTTTCCTACTTACAAAGCATGTAGAGGTCTGTAATTTTGATCATAGGTACACTTCAACTGTGAGAGACAGAATCTAATCCAGAAAATCACATTGTATGATATTTAAGTAATTAATTTGCATTTTATTGCATGACATAAGTATTTGATACATCAGAAAAGAAGAACTTAATATTTGGTACAGAAACCTTTGTTTGCAATTACAGAGATCATACGTTTCCTGTAGGTCTTGACCAGGTTTGTACACACTGCAGCAGGGATTTTGGCCCACTCCTCCATACAGACCTTCTCCAGATCCTTCAGGTTTCGGGGCTGTCGCTGGGTAACACAGACTTCCAGCTCCCTCCAAAGATTTTCTATTGGGTTCAGGTCTGGAGACTGGCTAGGCCACTCCAGGACCTCCAGACCTCCAGGATGCTTCTTACGGAGCCACACCTTAGTTGCCCTGGCTGTGTGTTTCAGGTCGTTGTCATGCTGGAAGACCCAGCCACGACCCATCTTCAATGCTCTTACTGAGGGGAGGAGGTTGTTGGCCAAGATCTTGCGAAACATGGCCCCATCCATCCTCCCCTCAATACGGTACAGTTGTCCTGTCCCCTTTGCAGAAAAGCATCCCCAAAGAATGATGTTTCCACCTCCATGCTTCACGGTTGGGATGGTGTTCTTGGGGTTGTACTCATCCTTCTTCTTCCTCCAAACATGGCGAGTGGAGTTTAGACCAAAAAGCTCTATTTTTGTCTCATCAGACCACATGACCTTCTCCCATTCCTCCTCTGGATCATCCAGATGGTCATTGGCAAACTTCAGACGGGCCTGGACATGCGCTGGCTTGAGCAGGGGGACCTTGCGTGCGCTGCAGGATTTTAATCCATGACGGCGTAGTGTGTTACTAATGGTTTTCTTTGAGACTGTGGTCCCAGCTCTCTTCAGGTCATTGACCAGGTCCTGCCGTGTAGTTCTGGGCTGATCCCTCACCTTCCTCATGACCATTGATGCCCCACGAGGTGAGATCTTGCATGGAGCCCCAGACCGAGGGTGATTGACCGTCATCTTGAACTTCTTCCATTTTCTAATAATTGCACCAACAGTTGTTGCCTTCTCACCAAGCTGCTTGCCTATTGTCCTGTAGCCCATCCCAGCCTTGTGCAGGTCTACAATTGTATCCCTGATGTCCTAAACAGCTCTCTGGTCTTGGCCATTGTGGAGAGGTTGGAGTCTGTCGGATTGAGTGTGTGGACAGGTGTCTTTTATACAGGTAACGAGTTCAAACAGGTGCAGTTAATACAGATAATGAGTGGAGAACAGGAGGGCTTCTTAAAGAAAAACTAACAGGTCTGTGAGAGCCGGAATTCACACTGGTTGGTAGGTGATCAAATACTTACGTCATGCAATAAAATGCAAATGAATTACTTAAAAATCATACAATGTGATTTTCTGGATTTTTGTTTAAGATTCCGTCTCTCACAGTTGAAGTGTACCTATGATAAAAATTACAGACCTCTATATGCTTTGTAAGTAGGATAACCTGCAAAATCGGCAGTGTATCAAATACTTGTTCTCCCCACTGTACCTCTATCGAGCCAGTATCCCTGCACATTGTAAATATGGTACTGGAACTGACTGATCCTCTATATATTATGCTTACTTACTTTCTCCTGTTCTTCTTTTTATTTATTGTGTGTTTTTGTTCTACCTTATTTTTAGTGTTACATTGTTATTGACTATTGTGTTGTTGGGTTTGGATCTTGCAAGAAAGGCATTTCACTGTACTAGTGCATGTGACATTAAAACTTGAAACTAATGTAAATACTATTTCTCAATCCAGGACCTGGCTGTACCATCTTAAATATCTGTCTATTATCATCTATTATCTATTGTCTCTTTAGGCTTGATGAAACGTTCACGGTGAAGGTAGCAGACTTCGGCATGGCCAGAGATGTGTTTGACAAGGAGTACTACAGCATCCAGGACCACAAGAAGGCCAAGCTTCCAGTCAAGTGGATGGCCATAGAGAGCCTGCAGACACAGAAGTTCACCACTAAGTCAGACGTGGTCAGTGGACATGGCCTTAGTTAACATACTCTGTATACTTGATCTGTCTTGACTCTTTATCCCTTGTCTTCACAGTGGTCATTTGGGGTCCTGATGTGGGAGCTGTTGACCAGAGGAGCTAGCCCCTATCCTGATGTGGACCCCTATGACATCACACACTTCCTGTTGAAGGGGCGCAGGCTGCCCCAGCCACAGTTCTGCCCTGACGCCCTGTAAGTGGTTCTGGTCTCATTTTCTACGTAATCTAAGAATTGGAAAGAATTCTCTCTGATGAGCTTGGTTGTTGATGGCAGTTGTTGTTTTTCTAGGAACAATTGGTTGTTGATGGCGGTTGCCATTGCTTTACAGCTACTCTGTCTTGGTTGTTGATGGCGGTTGCCATTGCTTTACAGCTACTCTGTCTTGGTTGTTGATGGCGGCTGTTGTTTCTCTACAGGTACTCAGTCATGCTGGAGTGCTGGGACCCAGAGCCGGAGCTCAGGCCTGACTTCCACACGCTGGACCAGGAGGTGCTGGAGATCCTGTCCTACCTTGAGGGAGAGCACTACATCAGTCTTAAGGTGACCTACGTCAACCTGGACCAGCCACGGCCCTACCCCGCCCTGACCGCCTCCGCTGACGAGGCTGAAGCCTCGTTTGGATCAGAGTCAGACAGCGTTGTGTCCAGCTGAGGACCACGGCACCTCAGGGGTCAACAGAACTGACTGGACCAGACCAGAACTGACTGGACCAGAACTGACTGGACCAGACCAGGACAGGGACAGTAGAAAGAGGTCAGAGGGCACGGATGGGGGCATGACCATTTACCAAAGATGGATGGCTTCTCCTTTTCCTATCCACGATGCAGTATGCAGAAAGATTCCCATCCACGATGCAGTATGCAGAAAGAATCCCATCCACGATGCAGTATGCAGAAAGATTCCCATCCACGATGCAGTATGCAGAAATAATCTTGCACTTCAGTTACTCCAGATTGGATTGTGAAGGAATAGAACATTGACTATTGACTAAGGAGACCTTGTGAAATTTGTCCACTTGTGTGAGCATTGACACAGAATTTCAATGGCGTTTCCCCCACCTTGTGAGTACACAAATTATGACTATATCATATTTTTGTTTACTTTAAATGCTTTTATTTTTTTTATGGTAGGTTTTCAGGTGGAGAAATGGTATTTATGGGACACCAAGTGAGCCCTCTCTATGTCTGAATCACAGCTTTAAATATGAACAAATGAATGTAAATGTCTGAAATGTGGATATGTTATGCTAATTAATGACTATGATTTGAGCTTGACATTAATACACTGCTCAAAAAAATAAAGGGAACACTAAAATAACACATCCTAGATCTGAATGAATGAAATAATCTTATTAAATACTTTTTTCTTTACATAGTTGAATGTGCTGACAACAAAATCACACAAAAATTATCAATGGAAATCAAATTCATCAACCCATGGAGGTCTGGATTTGGAGTCACCCTCAAAATTAAAGTGGAAAACCACACTACAGGCTGATCCAACTTTGATGTAATGTCCTTAAAACAAGTCAAAATGAGGCTCAGTAGTGTGTGTGGCCTCCACGTGCCTGTATGACCTCCCTACAACGCCTGGGCATGCTCCTGATGAGGTGGCGGATGGTCTCCTGAGGGATCTCCTCCCAGACCTGGACTAAAGCATCCGCCAACTCCTGGACAGTCTGTGGTGCAACGTGGCGTTGGTGGATGGATCAGGTCTGGGGAACGGGCGGGCCAGTCTATAGCATCAATGCCTTCCTCTTGCAGGAACTGCTGACACACTCCAGCCACATGAGGTCTAGCATTGTCTTGCATTAGGAGAAATCCAGGGCCAACCGCACCAGCATATGGTCTCACAAGGGGTCTGAGGATCTCATCTCGGTACCTAATGGCAGTCAGGCTACCTCTGGCGAGCACATGGAGGGCTGTGCGGCCCCCCAAAGAAATGCCACCCCACACCATGACTGACCCACCGCCAAACCGGTCATGCTGGAGGATGTTGCAGGCAGAAGAACGTTCTCATTGCGTCTCCAGACTCTGTCACGTCTGTCACATGTGCTCAGTGTGAACCTGCTTTCATCTGTGAAGAGCACAGGGCACCAGTGGCGAATTTGCCAATCTTGGTGTTCTCTGGCAAATGCCAAACGTCCTGCACGGTGTTGGGCTGTAAGCACAACCCCCAACTGTGGACGTCGGGCCCTCATACCACCTTCATGGAGTCTGTTTCTGACCGTTTGAGCAGACACATGCACATTTGTGGCCTGCTGGAGGTCATTTTGCAGGGCTCTGGCAGTGCTCCTCCTGCTCCTCCTTGCACAAAGGCGGAGGTAGCAGTCCTGCTGCTGGGTTGTTGCCCTCCTACGGCCTCCTCCACGTCTCCTGATGTACTGGCCTGTCTCCTGGTAGCGCCTCCATGCTCTGGACACTACGCTGACAGACACAGCAAACCTTCTTGCCACAGCTCGCATTGATGTGCCATCCTGGATGAGCTGCACTACCTGAGCCACTTTTGTGGGTTGTAGACTCCGTCTCATGCTACCACTAGAGTGAAAGCACCGCCAGCATTCAAAAGTGACCAAAACATCAGCCAGGAAGCATAGGAACTGAGAAGTGGTCTGTGGTCACCACCTGCAAAACCAGTCCTTTATTGGGGGTGTCTTGCTAATTGCCTATAATTTCTACCTGTTGTCTATTCCATTTGCACAACAGCATGTGAAATGTATTGTCAATCAGTGTTGCTTCCTAAGTGGACAGTTTGATTTCACAGAAGTGTGATTGACTTGGAGTTACATTGTGTTGTTAAAGTGTTCCCTTTTTTTTTTTTGAGCAGTGTATGTTTAATAGGATGGATTTCAATTTTTTCAGTCAGATTTGCTCACTTCTTTGCTGGCATCCAATGATATGTCTATGGCTGCGTTTACACACTGATCTTTTTGCCACTATTGGTCTTTTGACCAATCAGATCTTTTGACAATAATGGGCTAAAGATCAGAATTGTGCTGCATGTGTAAACACAGCATTAGAGATGGTCATTTGTGTTGATGATCATTTGATTTATGGTATGAAATGTGTCCACTAACTAAACTGGTCAACTTTGCTGCATTTACACAGGCAGCCCAATTCTGATATTTTTTCACTAACTAATTGGTCTTTTGGCCAATCAGATCTGGAAAATATCTGATGTGAAAAGATCTTATGTGATTGTCAAAAGAATAATTAGTGGGGGAAAAATCTGAATTGGGCTGCCTGTCAACTCAGCTCTTGAGATTCACAAGGACACGCTTCTGAGAGGATAGTTCAGTTAGCCATCCTCGTGAAGGGGTAAACTTTAAATTGCCCTTCCTCTTCAGAGAAAATAATAATAGGAATACTAATTGATACTCAGGGAGTCAACATATACATTTGTCCAGTTTGAGAAATAAACCTGCCTTTTATTAAAGGGGCAGTCTGGGATGCTACATCAATTTTTGGACTTCTAAATGAATTATGCTGTATATACCCATTGATTCTTCAGAAATATAACTTAGAAATGCCTCATGAGTTTAGTTCAACTGCCGCTCCCCATCAGAACCCAAAATATAAGCTTGTTTTACTCCATTGTAAACAATGTAATTTTAAACAAACACTGTATAGCCTCAAAACATGGTTAAAACGATACTTTTGATATCATGGATGGTCAGTCCTTGTATTCATAGCTCTGTATGAATTTGAGAGTGGTTAAAATTCTCCAGCCCCATCCCTCAGCTGTTTACCAAAACAAGGAGGGGGTGCCCAGCTTTGTTGTTGTTTGAACTGCAGATTGCCCTTTTAACTCTGAGCTGAAGTATGCCACTCATTTCATACTGCTTGTTACTCTTTGAATCCATCACTAGAGGTCAGTAAAAACCTTTGTCACTAGTCCATTTGCTGCAGTATTCTGCACCTCATCAGACCAAGGTACACACCAGACCTTTGTTACGACAATCTATGTTTCACACTACAATGCTGAAAGGAGATAAGAGGGGTGCTTATTTTGTCTGCGTAAGGAAATGGTTATGATTGGCGCTGGCAGACCGTTGTCTGTGCTGAAATCTCAGGACTCCCAATAGCCTCTGTTCTCTTGTTTATTTCAGTCACTAGATGTGTAATCACCTCCAACTGTGCTCGTCTTGTGGATTGTTTTAGTGACATCAATCAGTCTGTGCGTTTGTATCAACATGAAGAAAGTAAAACATTAGATTTAACACAGCCAATCTCAGATGAGTGGTTTCTGTACAGTATCCATGAATACAGGTGTTCATGAGAGATGGGTTTTGGGTTATTGCTTATACTGAAGGGTTTGAAGTATTCCACAGACTTGTAGGATCTCTCTCCTCTGAGCCTCCCACTGAGCAGAGCTGGAGATACTCTCACTGCAGAGATGATGATGATACGTTTACCTGTCATAAACACCATCACACTGTGGAGCTATTGTAAACAGCAGCCTCTCAATGTGCTGTGTGTGTGTGTGTGTGTGAGTTTGTGTGTGTGCACGCACATGTGTGAGAGTGTTTATGTTTTATGTTAACCTTTTCAATTGGGCACTCTTGAAAGCTTCCTCAGTGGTCTTCGAAAAGGTTGACGACCTGCACTGTACACTATATTACAATGTCCTATTATGACAGAATGCAACAATAGGTTAACCTTGGTATGAAGAGGCTTTTATGTAAACAGTTCCACATAATGTTCCACAGTGTTGTAGACTGCAGTTCTGAATCATGCTTTTCTGCGGCTACATGGTCCTTGAGACAAGTGTTTTGTAATTCAATCTGGAATGGCGATCAGAGAAATGCTACTAATGCTATAATGACTGATGTACAAACTTTGATTTTTGATTTGATTTGTTAGGATCCTCATTAGCCGATGCCAATGGGCGACAGCTAGTCTTACTGGGGTCTGATATATAACGAAAAAGACATTACAGTCAAAATAGAATTTACATACATTTAAAAACAATAACATGTTGTGTGTGTGTGCATCTATCAGTTACACATACGTGTCAGTGCCTACACACAAGTAGGTCACATGGGGGAGAGGCCTGGGGCGTGAGGTGTTGCTTTACGTCAGGTTCGAGTTGCCAAACGTCAGGCTCGAAACCTTAATGACTTGGAGAAGATCTGCAAAGAGGAGTGGGACAAAATCCCTCCTGAGATGTGTGCAAACCTGGTGGCCAACTACATGAAACGTCTGACCTCTGTGATTGCCAACAAGGGTTTTGCCACCAAGTACTAAGTCATGTTTTGCAGAGGGGTCAAATACTTATTTCCCTCATTAAAATGCAAATCACTTTATAACATTTTTGACATGCGTTTTTCTGGATTTTTTTGTTGTTATTCTGTCTCTCACTGTTCAAATAAACCTACCATTCAAATTATAGACTGATCATTTCTTTGTCAGTGGGCAAACGTACAAAATCAGCAGGGGATCAAATATTTTTTTCCCTCACTGTACAGCTTTACTAGGTCTTTCTTTGCAGCACATGACCATATGACTGGACAGTTATCAAGATAAGATCAAACTAGAGCCTGCATTTCTGCCTTTGTGGAGCGTGGTGTCAAAAAAGCAGAGCATCTCTTTATTACGGACAGACCTCTCCCCATGTTTACAACCATTGAATCTATATGTTTTGACCATGACAGTTTACGATCTAAGGTAACACCAAGTAATTTAGGCTCCTCATCTTTCTCAACAGCCACACCATTCATTACCAGATTCAGCTGAGGTCTAGAACATAGGGAATGATTTGTACTAAATACAATGCTCTTAGTTTTAGAGATATTCATGACCAGTTTATTACTGGCCACCCATTCCAAAACAGACTGCAACTCTTTGTAAAGGGTTTCAGTGACTTCATTAGCTGTGGTTGCTGATGCGTATATGGTTGAATCATCAGCATACATGGACACACATGCTTTGTTTAATGTCAGTGGCAGGTCGTTGGTAACAATAGAAAAGAGTAGAGGGCTTAGAGAGCTGCCCTGCGGTACACCACACTTTACATGTTTGACATTAGAGAAGCTTCCATTAAAGAAAACCCCCTGAGTTCTATTAAATAGATAGCTCTGAATCCATGATATGGCAGAGGTTGAAAAGCCATAAGACATTCGTTTTCTCAACAACAGGTTATGGTCAATAATATCAAAGGCTAGACTGAAATCTAACAGTACAGCTCCCATAATCTTCTTATCAATTTATTTCAACCAATCATCAGTAATTTATGTCAGTGCAGTATATGTTGAGTGCCCTTCTCTATAAGCATGCTGAAAGTCTGTTGTTAATTTGTCCACAGAGAAATAGCATTGTAAATCAAATCAAATCAAATTTTATTGTGCAGACATTACAGTGAAATGCTTACTTACAGCCCTTAACCAACAGTGCATTTATTTTTAATAAAAAAAGTAAAATAAAACAACAACAAAAAAGTGTTGAGAAAAAAAGAGCAGAAGTAAAATAAAATAACAGTAGGGAGGCTATATATACAGGGGGTTACCGGTGCAGAGTCAATGTGCGGGGGCACCGGCTAGTTGAGGTAGTTGAAGTAATATGTACATGTGGGTAGAGTTAAAGTGACTATGCATAAATAATTAACAGAGTAGCAGCAGCGTAAAAAGATGGGGTGGGGGGTGGGAGTGGGGGGCAGTGCAAATAGTCTGGGTAGCCATGATTAGCTGTTCAGGAGTCTTATGGCTTGGGGGTAGAAGCTGTTGAGAAGTCTTTTGGACCTAGACTTGGCACTCCGGTACTGCTTGCCGTGCGGTAGCAGAGAGAACAGTCTATGACTAGGGTGGCTTGAGTCTTTGACAATTTTGAGGGCCTTCCTCTGACACCGCCTGGTGTAGAGGTCCTGGATGGCAGGAAGCTTGGCCCCAGTGATGTACTGGGCCGTACACACTACCCTCTGTAGTGCCTTGCGGTCGGAGGCCAAGCAGTTGCCATACCAGGCGGTGATGCAACCAGTCAGGATGCTCTCGATGGTGCAGCTGTAGAATTTTTTGAGGATCTGAGGACCCATGCCAAATCTTTTCAGTCTCCTGAGGGGGAATAGGCTTTGTCGTGCCCTCTTCAAGACTGTCTTGGTGTGTTTGGACCATGATAGTTCAATGGTGATGTGGACACCAATGAACTTGAAGCTCTCAACCTGTTCCACTACAGCCCAGTCGATGAGAATGGGGGCATGCTCAGTCCTCTTTTTTTTCCTGTAGTCCACAATCATCTCCTTTGTCTTGGTCATGTTGAGGGAGAGGTTGTTATCCTGGCACCACACAGCCAGGTCTCTGACCTCCTCCCTATAGGCTGTCTCATCGTTGTTGGTGATCAGGCCTACCACTGTTGTGTCGTCGGCAAACTTAATGATGGTGTTGGAGTCGTGCCTAGCCATGCAGTCATGGCTGAACAGGGAGTACAGGAGGGGACTGAGCACGCATCCCTGAGGGGCCCCTGTGTTGAGGATCAGTGTGGCAGATGTGTTGTTACCTACCCTTACCACCTGGGGGCGGCCCGTCAGGAAGTCCAGGATCCAGTTGCAGAGGGAGGTGTTTAGTCCCAGGATCCTTAGCTTAGTGATGAGCTTTGAGGGCACTATGTAGTCAATGAATAGCATTCTCACGTAGGTGTTCCTCTTGTCCAGGTGGGAAAGGGCAGTGTGGAGTGCAATAGAGATTGCATCATCTGTGGATCTGTTGGGGCGGTATGCAAATTGGAGTGGGTCTAGGGTTTCTGGGATAATGGTGTTGATGTGAGCCATGACCAGCCTTTCAAAGCACTTCATGGCTACAGACGTCAGTGCTACGGGTCGGTAGTCATTTAGGCAGGTTATCTTAGTGTCCTTGGGCACGGGGACTATGGTGGTCTGCTTGAAACATGTTGGTATTACAGACTCAGTCAGGGACATGTTGAAAATGTCAGTGAAGACACATGCTCGGAGTACACGTCCTGGTAATCCGTCTGGCCCTGCGGCCTTGTGAATGTTGACCTGCTTAAAAGTCTTACTCACATCGGCTACGGAGAGCGTGATCACATAGTCATCCGGAACAGCTGGTGCTCTCATGCATGCTTCAGTGTTGCTTGCCTCGAAGCGAGCATAGAAGTGGTTTAGCTCGTCTGGAAGTCTTGTGTCACTGGGCAGCTCGCGGCTGTGCTTCCCTTTGTAGTCTGTAATAGTTTTCAAGCCCTGCCACATCTGACGAGCGCCAGAGCCGGTGTAGTATGATTCAATCTTAGTCCTGTATTGACTCTTTGCCTGTTTGATGGTTCGTCGGAAGGCATAGCGGGATTTCTTATAAGCGTCCAGGTTAGAGTCCCGCTCCTTGAAAGCGGCAGCTCTACCCTTTAGCTCAGTGCGGATATTTCCTGTAATCCATGGCTTCTGGTTGGGGTATGTACGTACGGTCACTGTGGGGACGACATCATCAATGCACTTATTGATGAAGCCAGTGACTGATGTGGTGTACTCCTCAATGCTATCTGAAGAATCCCGGAACATGTTCCAGTCTGTGCTAGCAAAACAGTCCTGTAGCTTAGGATCTGCGTCATCTGACCACTTTTTTATTAACCGAGTCACTGGTGCTTCCTGCTTTAGTTTTTGCTTATAAGCAGGAATCAGGAGGATAGAGTTATGGTCAGATTTGCCAAATGGAGGGCGAGGGAGAGCTTTGTATGCGTCTCTGTGTGTGGAGTAAAGGTGATCTAGAGTTTTTTTTCCTCTGGTTGCACATTTAACATGCTGGTAGAAATTAGGTAGAACGGATTTAAGTTTCCCTGCATTAAAGTCCCCGGCCACTAGGAGTGCTGCCTCTGGATGAGCGTTTTCCTGTTGACTTATGGCCATATACAGCTCATTCAGTGCAATCTTAATGCCAGCATTGGTTTGTGGTGGTAAATAGACAGCTATGAAAAATATAGATGAAAACTCTCTTGGTAAATAGTGTGGTCTACAGCTTATCATAAGATACTCTACCTCAGGCGAGCAAAACCTCGAGACTTCCTTAGTATTTGATTTTGTGCACCAGCTGTTGTTTACAAATATACACAGACCGCCACCCCTTGTCTTATCGGAGTCAGCCGTTCTATCCTGCCTATGTAGCGTATAGCCCGCTAGCTGTATGTTGTCCATGCCGTCGTTCAGCCACGACTCGATGAAACATAAGATATTACAGTTTTTAATGTCCCGTTGGTAGGATAACCGTAATCTTAGGTCATCCCATTTATTCTCAAATGATTGAAGATTGGCTAATAGGATTGATGGGAGAGGCAGTTTACTCGCTTACCGTCGGATCCTTACAAGGCACCCCGACCTACGTCCACTATATCTCCGTCTCTTCCTCATGCAAATGACGGGGGTTTGGGCCTTGTCGGGTGTCTGTAGGATATCCTTCGCGGCCGCCTCGTTGAAGAAAAAATCTTTGTCCAATACGAGGTGAGAAATCGCTGTCCTGATATCCAGAAGCTCTTTTTGGTTATAAGAGACAATGGCAGAAACAGTATGTACAAAATAAATTACAAATAACGTGGAAAAACACACATAATAGTACATTTGGTTAGAGGGCTGTAAAACGGCAGCCATCTTCTCCGGTGCCATTAATTCTTCTTCTTCTTCTTGTATTTAGTAAAACAATTTTTCCCAACAGTTTGCTAAGAGCTGGCAGCAAGCTGATAGGTCTGCTGTTAGAATCAGTAAAGGCCGCTTTACCACTCTTGGGTAGCGGAATGACTTTGGCTTCCCTCCAGGCCTGAAGACTTTCTCTAGACTCAGATTAAAAATATGACAGATAGGAGTGGCTATAGAGTCAGATACCATCCTCAGTAGCTTTCCATCAAAGTTGTCAATGCCAGGAGGTTTGTCATTATTGATCGATAACAATCATTTTCCCACCTCTCCCAAACTGTCCTGTGAAGCAGCCAAGGAAAGGCATTTGCACTCAGGGAATGGTGATGCAGAGTAACTTTCCATCACTCCTGCAATTCTTTTTCTTCAGTGTTGTTGTTCTTTGGGAGTAGCTGACTGTAGCAGGTTAGTCTGCAGGTGAGGGGATCTTCAAAGGTTGGATGGCAGGCAGGGAGAAAGGGAGCTAGTATGGTGGATGGTGGACTGAGCTGGGCTTGAAGTGAGTCTTCCTCAGAGCCTTCTCCGCACGTCCACTCTCTGCAGGTGAAGGAGAAGAGAGGAACACTGTCAGGGGCTTTGTGTTCTGACTGTCTCCATTCACCTGCAACATCTTTAATACTCAACATCAATAACTGACTGTGTTAAAGAATTTTTATTTTATTTTAAAGAAGAGATATTTCCTTTATTCCTTCCCTACAGATATTGTCAAGGGGGATTCACAATGACAAGCCAAGTTCGGACATGATCCAGAAGTGCGAGCTAAGAATGTAGCATTGCTTAAATCTATTGATTTAACAGCATGTTACCTGAATTAATGGGGTTTTGCTATAAAGAGGTAATCTAAAAGGGCCATCCAAAAGGGTCTATATGAAGGTTTTAAAAAGCTTAGAAAAGCTGACAAGAAAAGGGCAACGAGGGAATTGAATGCTATGTAATGGTAAATTATCCTAATGCTCTCCCTTCTGTTAGGATCAATGGGCTTCCTGCAGTCTGCAGGCCCAGAGGGCCTCAGGACTCACGTGGTCCTCTGTAATACACTTCTGCTGAGTCCCTCTTTTTCACCATCACTTAATGGCTTAAAGAGGAGCTAGAAAATGAATCAAAGATCAAAGATTAATCAAAAGCAAATAATTTATTTATGCAAAGAAAATTAAGCATATTGGACCTTCAAGAAGCAAAGTGTCACTTGCCACATCATCATGATGATGCAAAATGCATCATATGATGGGTGAAGTGACACTTTGCTTCTTGATAATCAAACAGACATGCAGACATGCAACAGATTTTGGGACTGAATCAACAGTGGACTAATTAAGAAACTACCCAAAAATCGTTTTTGATTGAATTGTTCCTTTAAGACAAAGATGATCATTATTTCAGTTCATCTTTAAGACAAATATTTAAAAAAGAAGCTTGCATGTCTATCTATCTTTGAGAGTATACTCTATTCATTGTCTGTCTGTTTACATGTGTCACGACTTCCGCCGAGGCTGCCTCCTCCCCTCCAGGTTTCGGCGTTCGTCACCGGCTTACTAGCTGCTGCCGATCCATTTATCATCATTCCACTTGTCTTGTCTAATTCATCACACACACCTGGTTCTTATCCCCAATTTGTCATTGTATAATTGTTCCCTCTGCTTCATTGTCTGTGTGGGTGATTGTTTGTTGTGAAGGTTAGTAGCTCGGTGGCGCTCTTGTATTTGGTATCGACAGGAGTATTTTTCCCGTGTGCCTTGTATTTCCCCTGGAGTGTGTTTGACGCATTTCTGCGTAAACCTGTATTTTTCGGATTAAAGCCTGTTTCTGTGATTTACCCTCCTGCGCCTGACTCCTTCAACACCACCTTATCACAGAATCACCCACCCGAATATGGAGTCAGCGGGAGAAGAGAGCATGCCTGGAGACGTGGCACGGGTCCAGGAGCATTCCACGATGCTGGCCAGCTTGGGGGAAGCGATGGATCGGGTTCTTCAGGTTGTCCAACGCCTGGAGAGGAGAGGACCCGATCTGTCAAGACCAGCTGGCCAACCGGATCCGCCCAAACGGATCCAGCCACCTACACCCCAGCACCCGGAGGGATCCAGATATCCCGACCCCGGGCGTTTGATGGGACGACGGCGCTGTGCCAGGGATTCCCCCTCCAATTGGAGCTATACTTCGCCAGCATCAGGCTGGAACCCTCGGAGCGGGAGAAGGTGTCCGTCCTCGTTTCCTGCCTCTGTGGGAAAGCCCTGGAGTGGGCCAACGCGATGTGGAATGAAGGAGGAGCCGCGTTGGAGGACTACAGGGAGTTCGCTCGCCTCTTTCGGGCGGTCTTTGATCACCCGCCCGAGGGTAGAGAGGCGGGTGAGCGACTGGTCCACCTGAGGCAGGGCATGAGGACCGCGCAGGACTTCGCATTGGAATTCCGGACGCTGGTAGCGGGGTCCGGGTGGAACGAGCGGGCCCTGATCGACCATTTCCGGTGCCATCTGCGGGAGGACGTCCGACGGGAGCTAGCCTGCCGGGACACCATGTTGTCTTTCGATAAACTGGTGGACATGGCCATTCGGTTGGACAACCTGCTGGCAGCCAGGGGACGTCCTGGTAGGGGTCTGCCCGTTTCCACCCTGGAAGACTCGGACCTCGAGCCGATGGAGCTGGGTGGAGCCGCCGGTCGAGAGAGCGGAGGAGGACAGCGACAGTGCCACTCTGGTGGCACAAAGGGACAATCCACCACACGTCGTGTGGTCAACGTAGCCAACGTTCTTTTGGGCCTGGAGGCGGCAGGCAGGGCACTCACGCATCACCCCAGGTATCGAACACCCACACTTGTTCAGAGCCCTCTGTTGCGCACTGTACCCTACCTATCCACTTTCCCAATCACATGGTAGTTCCCCAGTGTAAGGCGCTAGTCGATTCAGGCGCAGCTGGGAACTTTATGGATAGGGCATTCGCACGCCGTCAAGGCATTTCATTGGTTCCCCTCTCCATTCCCCTCAGAGCACTCGATAGTCGAACAATTAGGGTCCGGATTTGTTACGGAAGTCACTATACCAGTCACCATGATCACCCAGGAGAATCATTTTGAGCAGCTGCTTTCCCTGTGGTATGCGTCCGAGGTAGGGATGGGCGCTGTCCTATCCCAACGCTCGGGCACGCCACCCAAGCTCTGCCCCTGTGCCTTCTTCTCGAAGAAGCTCAGCCTGGCGGAGCAGAACTACGACGTTGGTGATCGGGAGTTGTTGGCTGTTGTCCGAGCCTTGACCGTGTGGAGGCATTGGCTCGAAGGGGCGAAACACCCTTTCCTCGTCTTGACAGACCACCGTAACCTGGATAAAATCCGGGCAGCGAGGAGGCTGAAACCTCGCCAGGCCAGGTGGGCCCTATTCTTCACCCGGTTTGATTTTACATTGTCATACATTCCGGGTACGATGAACGTGAAGGCAGACTCACTGTCCCGTCTATATGACACAGAGGAGAGGCCCAGAGACATCACCCCCGTACTCCCGGCCTCCCGCATTGTGGCGCCGGTAGTATGGGCGATGGACGCGGATATAGAGCAGGCATTACGCACAGATCCATCTCCACCGCAGTGTCCAGCTGGGCTGCAGTACTGCCTGCTCTTATCCGTGATTGTCTGATCTTCTGGGCACACATGTCACCCCTCCATCGGTCGGACAGTGCACTGCCTGAGCGGAAAGTACTGGTGGCCTACCTTGGCTAAGGACATGAGGGTGTACGTCTCCTCCTGCTCGGTGTGTGCCCAGAGTAAGGCACATAGGCACCTCCCAGCGGGTAAGCTACAACCATTACCAGTTCCACAACGAACATGGTCTCACCTTAGCATTGATTTTCTGACTGATCTTCCCCTCTCCCAAGGTAACACCACCATCCTGGTCGTTGTGGACCGCTTCACAAAGTCCTGCCGCCTCCTTCCTCTGCCCGGTCTCCCCACAGCCCTGCAGACTGCGGAGGCCCTGTTTACTCACGTCTTCCGGCACTACGGGGTACCAGAGGATATAGTGTCTGACCGAGGTCCCCAGTTCACGTCCAAGGTCTGGAAGGCGTTCATGGAACGTCTGGGGGTCTCGGTCAGCCTGACCTCTGGGTTCCATCCCGAGAGTAATGGGCAGGTGGAACGGGTAAATCAGGACGTGAGTAGGTTCCTGCGGTCCTACTGCCAGGACCGGCCGGGGGAGTGGTCGGTGTTCTTGCCATGGGCAGAATATGCCCAGAACTCTCTCCGCCACTCCTCCACTAACCTAATGCCTTTCCAGTGTGTTCTAGGTTACCAACCGGTTCTGGCACCGTGGCACCAGAGCTAGACCGAGGCTCCTGCGGTGGATGACTGGTTTCGGCGTGCGGAGGAGACGTGGGATGCTGCCCACCTTCACCTCCAACGCGCTGTGTGTCGTCAGAAGGCCAACGCTGACCGCCACCGCAGTGAGGCCCCCGTCTTTGTACCGGGGGATCGGGTCTGGCTCTCGACCCGGAATCTGCCCCTCCGCCTGCCCTGCCGGAAGCTAAGCCCGCGGTTTGTGGGGTCATTCAAAGTCCTGAGGAGAGTCAACGAGGTCACATATAGGTTATTACTTCCCCCTGATTACCGTATTAACACCTCGTTTCATGTGTCTCTCCTCAGGCCGGTGGTAGCTGGTCCGCTCCAGGAGTCTGAGGTGCAGGAGGTCCCTCCACCTCCTCTGGACATCGAGGGGGCCCCGGCGTACTCAGTCCGTCCATCCTGGATTCGAGGCGTCGGGTGGGGGGCTTTCAATACCTCGTGGAGTGGGAGGGGTACGGTCCGGAGGAACGGTGCTGGGTCCCGGTGAGGGATATCCTCGATTCCCTCCATGTTACGGGATTTCCACCGTCGCCATCCGGCTCGCCCTGCTCCTCGTCCTCCTGGCCGTCCCCGAGGCCGGGGTCGGCACGCTGCTGCTGGAGCCGCGTGTCAAGGGGGGGGGGGGTACTGTCAGGACTTCCGCCGAGGCTGCCTCCCCACCTTGTTCGGGCAGGTTTCGGCGTTCGTCGTCACCGGCTTACTAGCTGCTGCCGATCCATTTATCATCACTCCACTTGTCTTGTCTAATTAATCACACACACCTGGTTCTTATCCCCAATTAGTCATTGTATAAGTGTTCCCTCTGCTTCCTTGTCTGTGTGGATGATTGTTTGTTGTGGAGGTTAGTAGCTCGGTGGAGCTCTTGTTTTTGGTATCGACGGGAGTATTTTTCCTGTGTGCCTTGTATTTTCCAGTGCACCTGTTTTGTGCCCTGGAGTGTGTTTGACGCATTTCTGCGTAAAGCTGTATTTTTCGGATTAAAGCCTGTTTCTGTGATTTACGCTCCTGCGCCTGACTCCTTCAACACCACCTTATCACAACATGCAAATGTATTTGGCGAATAAAGGTGATTTTGATTCTGAGAGAGAAAATGACTGGTTCATGATGTGAATAAGATTCACAAGCATGTCATCCTCAGTATGTCTCATTATGTAGTTATCAAGCCTAGTAAATGCATAGTATTTCATTGCTTTGCCTTTTTCAAGCAATATAAAATTGCAGCATTGTAAATTTGATAGCGTGTAATGACTGACCCTGTTCAGTAGTTATGGCCAGACTCAACACACACACTTTCTGGAACAAATTAGAAAAACAGTAGAGAAGATGATGGTGTCTTAAGTGCAATTTCAGTTAATTTTAAGTGTGTGAAGTTTCAGTGAGGCTGTTTGCTGTGCAGATCTGTATGGGGATGAAATATCAATAAGTTAGTTTGAAGCGACTCCATCGGGCTCTAGCAGTGCAGTGGTAAAACCTTTGGCAAACAGACAGGCCGTGAAGCTGTGGTAGAGGAGATTTTACTGAAATTATGGATTCAAATGATAGTGCGTTTGGTAGATGCGTTTTGGGCAATGTGTACTGCACACCAGCATCACTCTCCTTGTGTCTAGCAAAAATATAATCCACAGCATATATTTGTATATTGTGGCATCATTAGCCCAAGTCTGGACCTCTTGCCTTAGACCTTGGTGTAGGCTACTAGTTGTCTCCTC